TATATATATATATATATACTATACACACACACACACAACTATCATTGTGCATTTTCACACTCTTTAAGAGCTCTTTTTCTTTCATATATATTCTATAACACAAACAGATAAAGAGTATAAATATATAAATGATATAAATTTAAACTTATTATAGTTAAAATAAACTTAAATAAAGCAAAATCGATCTCTTTATTTTGAAAAAAGAAAAGAAGTATGATAGACTAATAAAAAAAATCATTCAAAAATTATATTTTAGAAATTATTTTTTTAAAAGTTAATTGATATTCACATTTTAATGACAATTTTTTTTTTTTCTTTAATTAACCGGTTTGAAAAATTTGGTCTCGGAAACCCCAAAATAGGGTCATTTTGTTGCAGTGTATATCTCAAAAACTATTAATGGTATCAACTTGAAATTTTTCAGACTTGTTTATAATATAATGAAGAAAATACTTTACAAAAACAAAAGAAAAACATTAACCAGTTTTTTCTTAATAAGAAAAACACTTCAAAAACAAATAAAGGGGCGTTTTGAATATGTTTGGACTTTGATATCTTTTTATCTAACTATCATAATACAATAAAAGTGGTAGGGATCATCCATGATAACTAAATGAACAATTTATTGATTCCAACATAAACATCCTTTGGACAACGTTTCCAAAATAAAGCATTTAAAGATTCATTGTTGTTTTGTGTTGATCCACGGAGACATTTAGAAAGAAGATCTTCTAACACTAAACCACTAAATACTGGTTTTATAAATGTTTTTATAGCATTAGGTAAACCTGATTTTTCTTTACAGTCTTTATTTTGGAACTTTGTTTTTTGGTACTTAGACCATGAATCTTTGGTTTTTAAAAAAATAATATGGCTTGGATCAGATGAATCTGTCAGTGATGTAAAACTGCTAATATACTTTTTACGCATCGGATAAAGATTATCAATGTTTTTGCGAATAGCAATACCGTAGTAACTTTGAATTTTGTTAATTTCCAGCCATACTTGCAACTAATTCTTATTCATTTTAAAAATTTATAGGGATTAACTGCGAGTATGGCTAGATACGAGGAAGAATCACCATCACCAATGTATTGAACACATCTTAATTTTTTTTGCCTCAATAAAGGACTGTAAACATTCGTCAATACTCTTTGCCTCCATTGATCTAGCTAATTCTTTGCGATTAATCGAGCAGACATAATTGAATTTAAAAATCATATATTTTGATGAATTTTTGTGTGCATTTCAATACTCACTTCTTAGAAAGTATGCGATAATCTATACATTTTCTATTTGTTTTGCTAATAGATGTATCCCGCATTCCAATGACGTAATGATGTAATGACATCAGGCAATTATAAAGCATTTATACATTAAAAATACAATACATTAGAAAATTGTAGTTTTTATTAATATCAAACTAACATGAGTGATTTTGTCTGTTCTACATTAACTAAAGGAGGAGAAAGTGGAGTTTATTACTGTTTTCCACAATGCAAAGTTCATTTTACGATTTTCAAAAAAAAGTCTACTGCTTGTTGAAATAAGTGGGCAAAAGTTGTTTCTCAATTTAGAAGAAAAGGTGGTAATGATAATTACGTTATTAAGGAAACGACTCTAGTATGTGAGCTTCACTTTAAAAATGAAGATACTCAATTTTAACCTAATATTAGCAGAAATTTTTTAAAAAAGAAGCATTTCCATCTATTTTTGAATTGAAAAAACAAGTTGATATACAAAACAATTTTCGCCTATAAAAAGAAAATTTATCAAAAACTTTGATATTGAAAACGTTTCTAGAAATGAAGACAATAATTTTAAAACTAACGATAAAGAACTATTAATTGATTTTGTGGTTGAGAAAGGTTGCATATTTTGTGTTGAACTACAAAAAAATTGATCTACTGGAAAAACAAAAACACGAGTTGAAATCTCAAATAAGCATTTTAGAATCAAAAATATACTGGCATAGAACATGAACAGTATATAAATTTGTACAACTTTTTAAATCCAAGAAAAAATGGTGAAAATATTAAATACCACAACTCAGCATTATCTGAAAACAGGTTACGTAATCATGCAAAAACTGGTCAAAAATAAAATTAAACACAGAAAATCAGTTATTTATGTTTTTAGTGTGCTAAAAATTGGATTTACAATTTTGCACACATCTTGGTTAAAATTTCAAAATCAACAACATCTCGTTATTTAATAACATGGACAAACTTTTGATATTTTTCTTTGGGAAGTGTACCTATTTGGCCTTCACACAAGCAAATTAATTAAGTTTATGCCAGAAAGCTTTAAGATGACATTTCCGTAAACAAGAAGTATTATTAATTGTGCTGAACTGTTTTGTGAGAAACCTTCACCAATGAGACACCAGAGGTCTTTATTTTCTAGTTATAAACATCATGTAACTTGCAAAGGATTGTTAAATATTTCTCTTTCAGGAGCAATAACTTTTATAGTTCAACTTTATGATAGATCTATTTCTGACAAAGAAGTCGTTGTAAGATCAGGTTTCCTTAATAAAGAACTATGGAAAGAAAATGATTCAGTTATGGCTGATCGTGGGTTTACCATTTCAGACCATTTAAACACAATCAATGTTAAATTAAATATACCATCTTTTTTAATGGACTACTAAGTAAAGAAGATGCTACAGAAAGTCAAACCATTGCATCATTGAGAAATCAGGCAGAACGTGCTATTCGTAGGATTAAACTATTTTGCCAAATAAGTAATGAAATTCCTTTGGTGTTTCATGGTTCAGTTAACCATCTATTGACATTAACTTGTCTTTTATGTAACTTTTTACCATAACTTAATAAAAAATAAGATATATATACATATAGAGGGTATTATACTTTGTTTGCTATTTACATTATTGTCCAATACTTTTGGTAAAAAATAGTTAATGTAAAAATCATTTCACTTACTAATTAATTTAAAAAAGAACTGATTGTCAAGAGGTGTTCTTATAATAGCAATTCCTTTAAATGTGTACACAACAAAGTCGCATAACTGGGAATTACTTAACCCCATCGCCATTTGTATTTGTGTATAACTACCAGTATAATGATCTTTTTTAAACATGGGTGTACATTGTCTAATCCAATATAAAAATCATTATCATTCAAACATTTGGAAATAGACAAGTGCTTTTTCATTCTAGGACATTCAATTTCAATTAAACCATAATAATATTTAGCCTCTTCATCATAAACAAGGCCATTCGGACTAGCAGATAACCAAAATAAGTTAGTTGTGTTACAACTCTAGTTGTCCTAACTAAAATACTGGGCTTTAATCAATTTTTCAAAACTTCATTATATTTGTTATAATTCATTATTCTCGAATAAATTTAGGCAAATCAATTAATTAACTGATTAGCAAGAGTTTGAAATTATCTTTTGCGTATATAAGTTTTATGAGAAGTACTTGAAGTTAAGCGGTGTTCTTAGATTAAACCACAGCTAATTTTTATTTCGTGTAACTGTATCAACTTCATACTTTCTGCTTTGTTCAGAAGATACTTTATTTGATAACAAAAAGTCTTTTTGTTACTCATTAAGCTCCCAATTACGAGGCATAAAGCAATTATTTTTATAATAAAAACCAAGAGTTAAAGAAGGAAGGGTATTAGAAACACATTAAAAGAAATTGCTTCAAGTTTTTCAATTACGAGGTATATAGCAATTATTTTTATTATAAAAACCAAAAGTTAAAGGAGGAAGGGTATTAGAAACACATTAAAAGAAATTGCTTCAAGTTTTTCAATATTAGTGATAAGTTTAAAGTTCTCATTTATCTGGAGTTAATAAGATAATGGAGAACCAATCGGAAAATTTCCAAATGATATTGTAGTAAAACTAAAAATGTTAGGTACGCAATAAAAAATACCAATATCTTTATTAAAAAAAGCAATATTTGATTTTAGATTGCAAAAATTTTCCTTTAAAGTTTCTTCTTTATACTTTATTTGCCTTGGATCATATAAAGTAGGCTTAATACTAAGCTTAAATTCAAATTTTTGTACATTTGTAAACATAACAGGATATTTACTTGTTTTAGTTTTATGACCTGAAATGCCCCATTGCCTTGATTTACTTGTTGACGAGCTGCATGTGGTGCTCCCCTTATTTCTTTCTGGTGGGGCGTTTGCCGTTAATCAAGGCCTAAGTTATGATTGATTTACTTATTGACGAGCTGCATGTGGTGCTCCCCTTATTTCTTTCTGGTGGGGCGTTTGCCGTTTATCAAGGCCTAAGTGATGAGATATAAGAAGACTACAATGAAGTGAAAACTGCACTGACTACTGCCTTATCTGCTTCTCCGCTAACAGCATACAAAGAGTTTGTAAATCGCCGTCTTAAAGAGAATGAGTCCGTTGACGTATATCTCGCAGAATTAACAAGACTGAGCAAGCTAATATCATCTCACGTAAGCGAAGAGTGGATAAGGTGCGCATTTATTCTTGGATTACCTGACGAAGCAAGAAAACAGCTGCAAACTGCATGCTCAATATCAACAATGTCGCTGTGCCAGATTGCTGAAAAATCCAGAAGTTTGGTAATTTTACGTCGCAAAGAATCGTGTCTTGTCAGTTGCGTGAATCCAGTTGCCATTAGTTCAAAACAGGTTCCTAAAGGACGCGGAAAAAAGATCATAACGTGCTACTGTTGCGGTGAGGATGGACATATCAGTCAAAATTGCAGCAAAGAGATTGAGAAGAAGAGGTGCTTTGTGTGTGGAATGGACAATCACCTGGCCAGTACTGCTATAAAAGGTGTACGAACTTAAAAAACGTGGAAGGGAAGCCACCCATTTTTGTGCGAGCGGCTTCCCACAAAATTTAAAACCGCCAACTCTCCGCATATATGTCAATGGAAGAAAAATAAAAGTATTGTTAGATACTGGATGCTCCAAATCAATTTTAATATCGGGATATTGTAAACCCAAAAAATGTCAATCATGCAAGCGAAAAGGTTGTTATGACGAATGGAAAGTCAATTGAAGTACAATACCAGACTGTTGTTAATCTTTCTATAAATGATACCACCATCGATTTGGAATGCCTGGTTGCCAACATTGTTCCCGAATATCAAATGCTACTTGGTATGGACGCAATACGACTGCTTGGAGGTGTCCAAGTTGGGAGAGACGGTGAAACCATAAACTTTAATGTAGAGCAACTATTGGTGCTACTGCATTCTCTCAAGGAAAAACGAATGAAGTATCCACACCTATTGTTCAAAAGCTGATTGATAAAGACTTCGTAGCAGAATTCAAAAATGGCAGCTGGAGCGTGTCTCGGAAATGGCTGATGGAACCACCAACTTTAACAAACAAAATTCCAAACTGTCACATCTCTGAAGACGTTAAAAGTGAGTACGCAATGGAAATAAGTGAATGGATAGCACAGGGATGGCTGAAACCGTTTGAAGGGAAATGTAATGGCATTATTCCGTTGATGGCAGTAATTCAACGAAACAAATTAAAAGTACGTCCGGTGATGGACTACCGGGAGCTGAATCAATTTGTATCAAGTCATACTGCAGGTGGCGATGTTTGCAGTACCAAACTTCGCAACTGGAGAAAGTTGGGAGAAAATCTTGAGATAATCGATTTAAAAATAGCGTACCTGCAGATTCGTGTCGACAAAACATTATGGAAATATCAAGTTGTGGAATATGAAGGGCAGCGATATTGTCTAACAAGATTAGGTTTTGGTTTAAATGTGGCGCCCAGAATAATGACAAAAATATTAAAAAAGGTATTATCCTTAGACAAAGTTGTCGAGTCTGGGACGGATTTATTTATTGATGACATCATTGTCAATAATAACATAGTGTCAAGTTGTAGAGTTCAAGAACTCTTGAAAAAATATGGCTTGGATTCTAAGGTGCCAGAAAAACTTATTGGTGGGCGTGTGCTTGGATTGCGAGTGTACAAACAAAACAACCAAGTGCGTTGGAAACGTCACAACATACCCAAAGTTCCTGAAGGAAAAATGACGCGTCGGCAAATCTTTTCTTGGTGCGGACAGCTGACTGAGCATTTTCCAATAGCAAATTGGTTGCGCCCTTCGTGCAGCTATCTAAAAAGAGTTTCGAGTAGTTGTGGATGGAACACTTTGGTGAACGATCGTGTTGTCAAATTAGTAAACAGTTTAAATGAAAGACTTACAAAGGAAGATCCCGTTCATGGGTCATGGAACGTAAAAAACACTTCTGAAGCAACAGTGTGGTGCGATGCAAGCAGTTTAGTTGACATAGTTTTGGAAGTGGCTGGAGAAATAGTAGAAGACTGCTCGTGGCTGAGAAAACAAGATGATTCGGCTCATATTAATCTCGCAGAGTTAGAAGCCGCGATAAAAGGAATCAATCTAGCAACAAAATGGGGATTCGAATGTATTACCATAAAGTGTGACTCGGCTACTGTTGTTGGCTGGTTGAAATCCTTAATCATTGGTGACAAAATTATTTGAGTACACGGTCTTGGAGAACCACTTGTCCGTCGCCGGTTATCGTTAATTGAAGACCTTGTGAAGGAGTGTGGTATACAATTAAAGCTTTTCCTGGTTAAGTCAGCAGAAAATAAAGCCGATGTTCTTTACAAGGGTACCACAGAATTGGCTGCATTCAAACCATTCTGCAATGACAGCAAATCTTGTACCACCTGATGTGAAGTCGTTTCATAATCTTCATCACTTTGGAGTAAATCGAACCTTTTATTAGATGAAACAGACATATCCGAAAGAGAAAGTTTGTAGAAAAGACATTGAATCAGTCGTAAAAAGTTGCGAAAGATGTTTATCGGTAGACCTGCTCCAATTAGATGGGAAGAAGGAAATCTTGAAGTTGGAAAGAGCTGGTACCGTTTAGCTATTGACGTTACCCACTATAAATCAGAGATTTAATCGTCTATCATCGACTGTGGCAAAAGGAGCAAGTTTACAATTTGGAGGAAGCTACAAAACGAGAAAGAAGCAACAGTGTGTTTCCATCTAGAAGAAATATTTCGAGAAAGAGGACCTCCGTGGCAAAATCTTCTTGACAACAGCAAGACCTTTCGCTCAAAACTCGTTGGTGAATTATGCGCAGAATGGGGAGCGTCCATCCTGTTTCGTTGCGCTTACAGGCCATCTGGAAATGGAATTGTTGAACGTCACCATCGCACAATCAAGCGCATGGCAGCAAGAAGTGGCAAAGATCCGTTAAAAATGGTATATTGGTATAACGTGGCTCCCAGAAAAAATGGCGAGAAAACATCGCTCCCCTACAAAGCTATATTTTCCTATGAGTGGAAACCACACACAATTTTTGCCAAAACTAACGAGGAAGTTCTGCACAACTACACACAAGGACAAGAAGTATTTGTAAAACCACCTGATTCAAAATGTACAAGCGAATGGAATAGAGGAAGAGTCTCAGATGAAGGACGAGGAGTTTTGGTAGAAATCAATGGATTACCGAGACACATGTCGGACGTCCGTCCAGCTCCCATTGTAGCTGACTTGTCTACGAGAGAACCGGAAGAACCCACCACGAACAACCTGAATCTCAGAAGATAGACGCAACTTTGCAAATGTATAAATATTGAGTAAAGATATTCAGAAGACAGTAAGAAAAAACAAATATATTTTATTAATTATAGTATATTATTTCGACTAAGTTCAATCGCTTCGAACTAACTATATAGTAACTAAATATATAGTGTTTTTATTTTTATTTTATTTTTATTGCTCGTATCTATATTAATATATAAATATATGACTATATCATAAATAAACTTATTAATCGAAGATTTGATTTGCGCTTATATTATTAAAGTAACAAGTTTTTAACTTTTTTCTTGAAAACCTATTTTTATTATTTCATTTTTATTTATTTTAAAAGTTTTTCAACTTTCTTAGTAGTTTTTTTTTTTTTTTTTTTTTTTTTATAGCTGCGTTGCACCTGATTCTTAATCTGTTTGTTGTTTTCGGAGTAATTTTTGAACATAAAAATAATTTGTGTGTGTGTGATTGTGACTAACATTAATAATATATATAATTATATATACGGAAAAACTGTTGTTGTATATAAATACATATAAGTATTATTTATATATATACATAAATTATATATAAAATATCCTTTCAACTATCCACCAACTTAATAACCAAATTTGTTATCCAACCACAACACTTATCCGAAGCATAAACCTCAAATTTAATATTCAGTCATCTAATTAGATCCTCAACATTCCAAAATGTCCGCCAACGAATTGTATGAAACATCGTCCATTTCACCTTCTTTAAACCCAATAGACCTGCTTGAAAATTGGCCGGGTCCTGGAAAAGGCAAGGCTGCTTATTTACCTAAAAGATGTGACGCCATGATCCGCTTTCTAGCTACAACAGTCAAATTACTGCTTGAAAAAGTAGCAGCCCTCGAAAACACCAACACCAACTTGCAAATTCAACTTACTATCTGCCAACCACCGGCAGTTTATCCTTCCGTTTCTCAACCAATCCTAAAATCTTTTGCTTCGCAACTTACCAAACCCGGATCAGCCACAAACAATGCCATTTTAAATGCCGTGAACGTAAACGCCATACTTCAACAGTCAAAAGCGACGAGAGCCATAATCACCGGAATTCCCAACGCAGCCAGTACCGATGCTTCCGTCGTCGATCAATCGGTAAAGGATACATTACAATACGTACATTACTCTGCTTCCTTCAAAGTTGCAGGACGCATTCCTGCAGCTATTTCTAACAAAAATAATAAATCGCCGCCAAACACTAGCATATCTACTTCTTCTACTGTCACTGCCCCCACTCAACCAGCTCCACCGTCTCTTATTATCGAATTCGCAACAAATGAAACTCGCAACGTTCTTCTAGCAATCACAAAAAACCTTGCCACCAATGAATCATACAAAAGTGTCTTCATACGGCCAGACAGAACTCCTTCAGAGCAAGATCTTTTTAACAAGTTGAACAACGAAAAGTTTAAGCTCAACAATGGCCTTAAAGCAAACGGTAAACTTGATCAGCCCTTTTGTCAAATGGTCAAATGCATTAACCTTAGCAAAAAAGTCAAAATCAATGGCTTGGAAAAACACCCGTTCATCAACTGGAAAGGAGCGCTCGCGGCGGCCCAAACCAACCAATGAGAAGTCGCAACATTCAACTCATGACCGTTTCCATATAATTAATAATTTGTCTTCTCCCACTTCACAAAGCAATGCTTCTAAATTGTTACTAAACTGCTTCTATGCAAACGCCACATCTCTAAATCCTAATAAACTCACCAAACTTGAATTAGCAACGTCCCTGTATGATTATGACACCATTTTTATCACTGAAACATGGCTTGACGAATCCTCAGCACCAGCTATTCCCAACTAAAATCTCTTTAGAAAAGATCGCTCTAGTCATGGAGGAGGAGTAGCCATATATGTCAAGAACAGCATTATTGCCAACGAAATTGACTACTCTCAAATTCACATCGGTTTCCAATGCAATTTCTCAGAACAGATCTGGCTCGAACTTAAACTCCCACAAGAATCTCTCCTAATCGGCTGCATCTATCGCCCACCTACCAATAATGTTCTGGCCTTTAACGAATAGTAAAAGTTATCTCCTACGCGAAATCGGCCGTAGAAAACAAAAAGTTTAATGGTCTAATAATCACCGGTGACCTCAACTTTCCCGACGTCATATGGCACGACGGCTGGACCAATACCACCGGCGCTGAAACTAGTTTTGGCACTAAATTTGCCGAAATCGTTTTTGATCTACATCTACACCAGAACTTTATCAATCCCACCTTCATTCAAGCCAACGGTCTGTTCAAAAATATACTAGACCTTGTAATTACTAAAACAACCGAACAATTAAGCCATATTACTATCGGTCCTTCTCTTGGTAGCGCCTCGCAAGGTCAACTATGACATGGCAACACCAGTTAGCGTCTCGCAAGGTCACTATGACATGGCAACACCAGTTAGCCAAAAACGTCTGGAACTCTCCCCGTTTTAACATCTCAAATTTTATACATAGGAAAGGTAATTACGCGAATCTAAACGAGAAACTCTCCCAAGTCGATTGGGTTAGTTTATTTAAAGACCGATATGCCGACGAATGTTATCAAATCTTCTGCGACAACTATATCAAACTATGTGACTTATTTATTTCGCGTGTCACCTCCAAACCGGCCAAGCACAGACAGCCTTGGCTAACCAGCAAACTTTTTTTACTAATTAAACGTAAGAAAAAACTTTGGTACCTCAACCGCAACAGCAAATGGCGAATCATTCCTCTTGTCAAAGAGTATAACCAAACTCGAAACCTTGTCAAAAAAGCTTCCTGCACTGCAATTAGAGCATTTGTACACAAATTAGCTAGCGACAAATGAAACCCTAAGCGTCTATATGCTTATGTAAACAACAAACGCGCTGTCAGTAACCAGATAACTTCTATATGCTCACCCGCTGGGGAAATAAGTAGCGACCACGCATCCATAGCCAATATACTTAACAGCCAGTTCCAGTCAGTATTCACAATCGAACCATCAGATCAACAACTACCTCCCTTTGTTAAACGTACAACCGCTTTAATCTCCTCTGTCATCTTCAGCTATGATTCCGTTCACAAACACCTATCTGCTCTCAACGCCAATAAATCAACTGGAGGTGACGGTATCAGTCCATTTGTGCTTAAAGCATGCGCTGATGCGGCGGCTACCTCGCTCGCCATCATTTTTCAGAAATCAATGGATCAAGGTGTAGTCCCAAAAGCGTGGCTCTCGGCAAACGTGACGCCACTGTTCAAAAAAGGCTCCAGACTCAACCCAGAAAACTATAGGTCATCACCTCAATACCATGGAAAATAATGGAAAAAATTATTAAAGAAAAGATCATGCAGCACCTTGTAGCTCATAAACTTATTGCCGATTGCCAGCACGGCTTCGTCAATAAAAAAGCCTGTGTCACGAATCTGCTTGAGGCCATGGACTTTCTGACCTACAACGTTTCTCGCAAGCTACCAGTAGATGTTCTTTTTCTTGACTTCGCCAAAGCCTTCGATAAAGTCCCTCACAGAAGATTACTTCAAAAACTTGAATCCTACGGAATCGAAGGTAACGTTCTTAACTGGATAAAAGCTTTCCTTTCAAATAGATCATAGCGTGTCATATTAGGTAATACGTCATCCACCTGGGTAAAGATTACCAGTGGCGTTTCGCAAGGTTCAGTGCTAGGTCCTACGCTGTTCCTAATATTTATTAATGACTTACCCGAACACATCAGTAGCGAAAACTTATGTAAAATGTATGCAGACGATACTAAAATCCTGAGTGTCGTCAAAACCACTGTAGACAAAGCTCGTCTGCAATCCGATATAGATAGCGTCGTTACCTGGACTCGAACCTGGTTAATGGAACTTAACATCAAGAAATGCAAAGTCATGCATTTCAGTAAGTACAATGTTTCCCCACA